AACATGAATTAGAGACTTAAATATAAGACCAGAAACCATAAAACTCATAGGAGAAAATTAGGCAGTAAAGTTTTGACATTGGTCTTAGTAGTATTTTTCCTAATACATCTCCTGGGGCAAGGAAAACAAAAGAAAAAAATTTAAGAAATGGGACTATATCACACTGAAAATGAAAAGACGACCTACTGAATGGGATAACACATTGGCCAATAATACATCTGAAAAAGGATAAATATCCAAAGTCTATTAAAAACTCATACAACTCAACACCAAAAAAACAAACAATTCAATTAAAAAATGAGTCAAGGATCTCTTCTCCAAAAAGGCCAATATATGAGGTCTGTCTAGAATAAGTTCAACCATTGTTAATATAACAAGAATAATTTGTGCCACATCAATGTAAACTGGAAGCCAAGAAGAGTAGCCTGGAATGCCCATGCGTGAACACAGATGACTCTACTGTACTAGTCAGTGGGGGTGGGAGACTCCATTGAGAGAGCATGTATACTGTGTGGCTGTCACATTCACAATGACTGAGCGAGTAGAGCAATAAATCTGGATCAAATTTTGCATTAAGCTTGAACATTCCTCTGCAGAAACTATTCAGATGATTCAGATGCCACAGCTATGGCCAACTGGTGATTGGCAGCTTCATCATGACAATGTGCCCGTTCATCTACCACATCTCATGTAGAGTTTTTTGCAAAATATCAAATCACCCAGGTGACTCAGCCCCCCTACAGCCCAGATTTGGCACTCTGTAACTTCTGGCTTTTCCAAAAACTAAAATCACCTTTGAAATGGAAGAGATTTCAGACCACTGATGAGATTCAGGAAAATACAACAGGGCAGCTGATGGTGACTGGGAGAACTGTGTGAGGTCCCAAGGTGGCAACTTTGAAGGGGACTGAGGCATTATTGTCCTAGGTACAATGTTTCCTGTATCTTGTATCTTGTTCAATGTCTCTATTTTTCATAGTATACAGATGGATACTTTCTGGACAGACCTTGTATATATGAAAAGAAGCTCAATTGTCACTAATCATCAGAGAAATGCAAATTAGAACCACAATGAGACATTACCTCACACCTGTCAGAAAGGCTTTCATCAATAAATTAACAAAAAAACAAGTGTTAGTGGGGAAGTGGAGAAAAGAGACCCTCATGCACTGTTGGTGGAATTGTAAATTGGTATAGCCACTATGGGAAACAGTATGGAGGTTCCTAAAAAAATGAGAAACAGAACTACCCTACACAACCCAGCAATTCCACTTCTGGGTATATATCTGAAGAAATCTAAAACACTAATTCAAAAAAGACATATGCATCCCCGTGTTCACTGCAGCATTATTTGTAATTGCCAGGATAGAAGCAACCCAAGTGCTATCAATAGATGAATGGATAAAGAAGAAGTAGGACATAAATACAATGGATTATTACTCAGCCATAAAAAAGAATAACATACATGGACCTAGAGGGTATTATGCTAAGTGAAAAATCTCAGACAGAGAAAGACAACTACCCTATGATTTCACTTATATGTGGAATCAAAAAACAAAATACAAGAACAAACAAAACAGAAACAAACTCATAGGAAAACAAACTGATGGTTGACAGATGGGAGGGGAGTTGGGAGGATGGGCAAAATGGTGAAAGGGATTAAGAACTGCAAATTGCCAATTATAAAAAATAGTCACAGGGATATAAAATATAGCATAGGGAATATAATCAACACGACTACTAGAATATTGGTGTTATCACATCACTGAGTTGTGCCACCACATTAGTTAATCTTTAAACTTATACTTTCTTGTATTCTCATTAACATATCCCCTGACAACAGCAGACTGAACTCCTCTAGAAAAAGCAGAAATTCCAGGGCTAGCTAAGCCTGTAGGCAGAAATCAGTAAGAAACCCAAGGATCTTCACTGTGAAACCCATTTGTGCTGGAAAGATCCAAGATGGAGCCTAAAACTTCTTCAAGAGAACTTTGGATACCCTTCATTAGCATAGTAAAAATCACACCCATGGGTGGAGATTTAACATTAATATAGGACATGCAATGAGATGTTTGGCTAGGCATGTTCCAAGCATGTTTAGGAACTGCGCTTGTAAATCTCAAAACTCTCCACCCTTCTTCAGGAACCTGTACCCCTAAAACCACCTATCTCCCCGGCCCTACAACCTATAAGATTTTCCTAATTCCTCTGATTTGGGAAGAAGAGATCTTAGCTCAACCTTCTCTCTTCCTTGGCCAAAGAATAAAGTTTCTGACTTGCTTTATCAACTGTCTCATCCTATTGGTGTGAACACCACCAGGCAGAAGGACCAACTTTCGCAGTCTGTGATCCTCAGGAGTCAGTGAATATCACTTCATAAAGTATATAAAAGTCTAATCACTGTGTTTTACATCTGAAACTAGTATGATATTATATTTAACTATAACTAAAAAATAAATTTTAAAAAGAAAAACAGTTACCAGTTAGCCTATTGTAGATTCCATAGTATGGAAAGGATTATTTTTAAGAGGACAAGCAGTAAAAAGTTGTTTGTATGAGCCATCCACTAGCCTTTTGCTTAACTCTGCAAAAGAAGGGCACAGAGTGTCCTAGTATTTTCTTTCTCTATGGGTGTACTATCAGTTGGGTACTTTTAGAAAAGCCCAAGTGGTCTTCAAAGAGACATTTATGTTCACCATGTAGTGTAAAACACCTTTCCCAAATATGCCAACAACTCCCCATGTATAACCACTTCCACCTGTTGTTTGGAGATTATTTTTGCATCATTATAAACAAAGAAACCAATATCAGATGATTGACTTGGGAAAGAGACAAGATTGCATGGCAATAATACATAAAGTTAGTCAAGCCCTACTTTTCAATTGTTTTGAAATAACAGATTCCTCTTTCTGAAATAGGTACTTATCCTGCATTGGTAAGCTTGTATTGTAGCAATAAAGGCCCAAGATAGATGAAGCCCCATAACCCTAACTGACATAACAGCTCTTGAGTGCTATACAGACTCTCAAAATGCCTTTTCAGATTCAACAGTAATATATTAACTCAAATTCAGATTCTCTCTTTGTAGTTAACCCCTCAGTTTAATTTAAAAAGTGGAGGCTGGGGCACAGGGTTACTCTGCCAGTGCCACTAGACAGTTCCATGGTATAGGTGTGCAGATGACAGCAAGCTAAAGGTCTAATCCAAATATATGTTCTGTCCTGACAGGTAAAGCTAGTAATTTACCTTATCGGTTAACTTATTAAGACACCATCTGATGTTTCTAAGCCAAATTAACACATAGAAGTCATCTGGTATGTTAATTGCTTTTGAACAAGTGTATAGAATCAGTAAAAAGGGACTAAGGGAATGGAGAACCTTACCTAGAATATACATAGAGCTCTATGTGTTTTAAAAATCTCTCAATGCATTATTTCACTAGACCCTAACCTCAGTTCCACAAAGTAGATTATCACTGTAAACATCTGAAAGAGGGGAAAATTGAGGCTCACACACTATTTTTCTCTTAAAGTAACATTGGAAGAAAGCTAGGACAGTGAAAGAAATGAATACTTATCAGGGGCATTTTGTTCTCTTTAGCCAAATAGCATCATAGGTACTATTACTGTCCCTTTTTAAAGCTGAGGAAGTTGAGACTCAGAGTAGCAACTGGCGACAAAGCTAAGTGGCAGAGTCAAGATCTGAACCCAGATCCTTTGGACTGCAAAGACCATGTTTTATTTATTACATTTATGAAGTCTATAGCTTACTCTTATAGTAACTTGTAACTGGATAACTGGACAAGGATTCTTGATGCTGATTTTTAGCCCTCTTAAAGAAGCGGGTTGTTTGGGACGGGGAACATACACTTAAGAAATTAATACATGACATTATGAACAAAGTACAGGCTTTGGAGTCAGAGAGATTGGTATTTAAATACTGGCTCTACCAACTTCTAGCTGTGTGACCCTAAGCAAGTTAGCCTACCTCACTAAGCTTTATTTTCCTCATCTGCCAAATGGAGAAAAAAAGATCTTAACTTCACAAAGCTGATGTGAAAATTATGTTGTATAACAATAATATAGTTCCTGGACATTAACAAATATTGGTTAGCTTCCTATATAAACATATTTCTTGAGGAAGCAGAGGAGTTATAGAGCAGAGAAAGAAAAGAGTCTTATTTGCTAGGGAATACAGAAACATGGAGTGGAAGGCACATAGCAACAGACTTCATTTATACAGCGGTCTTTGCAAACAATCACGGCTCAAGGACTATCTACTTCAAGAAGATTTCTTTGACATTTCTTTCTTTCTTTCTTTTCTTTCTTTCTTTCTTTCTTTCTTTCTTTCTTTCTTTCTTTCTTTCTTTCTTTCTTTCCTTCCTTCCTTCCTTCCTTCCTTCCTTCCTTTCTTTTCTTCCTTCCTTCCTTCCTTCCTTCCTTCCTTCCTTCCTTCCTTCCTTCCTTCCTTCCTTCCTTCCTTCTCTCTCTCTCTCTCTCTCTCTTTCTTTCTTTCTTTTTAATTAATTTATTTTTAGAGAGAAGAGAGGGAAGGGGGGAGAGAGAGGGATAGAAACATCAATGTGCAATTGCCTCTCGCACACCCCCAACTGGGGACCTGGCCTGCAACCCAGGCACATGCCCTACACTGGGAATCAAACTGGCAAGTTTTTGGTTCACAGGCCAACACTCAATCCACTGAGCCACACCAGCCAGGGCTCTTTGACTTTTAGAGTCTGTCTTAAGGTCCTTCTAAATTCCCAAAGAATGGTGTTTACCTTTATCTTAGCATTCAGTAACATGTGGTATAAATCATTCTCTTTAAATGCCTGTTTCCTCCTCTGGATATAAGCAAGCCCCCTAGCTTATCACAGTATGTGGTATGAGGTAGATGCTCAATAATTTTTTTGCTGAATAAAAGAGTGAAGGAGAGAAGAACAACCCAATCCAAATAACAGTGTGCTCAGTAAGATTAAAATCAGATTTATAATATTTTCTTACCTTGACTGCATAGTTATTAAGTGGATCTTTTGCATATGAAGCTGTGTAGTAAACTGCATCACCTGCTTCACAACATGGCTTGTCACTGGTTAGTCTGAAGTCTGACCAGCTGTCAAGCCCAAAACGGAGCTTGTCTTTCTGCCCAGCCATGAAGAGGTCTTCACATTTAACAGTCAGTTTCTTTAAGGCGTCTGTATGGAGGCTTCGGATTTTTCCCACCACTTCTTCCCAATTCTCAAGTCCTCGATAAAGTGCATGTCGCTGTGGCTTCTGGATACCTCGTCCCTGTCTCCAAGAGGGAACACATCGACTGGACAGGGACTCCATGCTGCTGGAAAATCTATCCTTAATACTGAGAGTGGTTAAGCCGGAGATGCTGTTTGCTGCTGAGGGGATAGGTCGCTCCTTGTGCAAAGGTTTCTCCAAGGAGTCATAAGACTCAACGTCTAGTCCCTTGAGTTCATAACTGATGGAAGAGCCAGCACTGCTGGCATCCCAGTTGGGATCAATATCATAGGTGGGATTAGCCATGACACAAAGACTAGTTTCCAAGGATTTTTGCAGGTCTTTGGAGATTGGCTCGGTATTGGCTCTTATGATCATTTTCTTCGGCAGTGGTGGTGGTTTAATTTGGGAAGCATTAGGTGTTTCTTGGTCTGTTTTCCCACCACAGGTAATGCCATCATCCAAAGCCCCCTTTGTCTGCCGTGGATGCTTGGGAGGTATCATAGCTGCTCTAGATTGCCCTGAATTGTTTCAAAAGAAAGAAAGAAAAAAGAATAGGTAAAGTTTTCATTACTGTTATATAACTGAAACCTAAGCAAAAAGGAGTAAGGTGCCATAAGAATGTATTGGGTTGGCCAAAAAGTCTGTTTAGTTTTTTTTCTGTCAAATAAAAGATACATTTTTCATTTTCACCAGTAACTTTATTGATTTGAATATTTTGAGTATGTTGGCTACCTCCTGCTATTGGCTTCTAATGGGTAGAGGCCAGGGGTGCTGCTAAACATCTTCCAATGCATCAAACAGACCCACAGCAAAAAAGTATTTGGCCAAAATGTCAATAGTACCAAGACACTTCACAAACCACTTCTGACACTTTTGATAAGTCACAGCACCTTCTTCATATCCTGCACAAATCTTATTTCGTGTTTCAGTTATGTTTTTACCTTTCTTGAAATAATAAAGCATAATACACCAAAAATGCTGCGTATTTTCTTCCATCTTCAATATTAAAATGGATGCACAAAAATTCACCAATTTTGGTAAGTTTTTTTAAATGCATACATTGCATTTAAAAAATGATATGACAGCTGTCACAATACAATCTAACAAAGTTGTTTCAAATGAAGTTAGACAACTAAGCACTACTAGAACCATCATACGGAAAACAACTAAACAAACTTTTTGGCCAATTCATTAAGAAGTCAATGCCTTAATTCAAAATGATAGAAGAAAACATCCAGTGAACAAATAGTTAAATATTAAAGGTAGAACTCAATACTTGGTAGGAATAATAAATGTGAACAATGTCTCAGCATTTCTGTGCCAGAAGAACAGGGTGATGGGCTTTGTTTTCAAAAAGGAATCCAGATTCTCTACTCCCAACCCCAAGAGTACTGTATTTACCACACTAGAATACTAAGGAGTCACAGATACTAATATAATTGTGTTGTGACAGAGCAGAGATAACAGCATTTATGAGTAAAAAAACACTTGAGAGTATTACTAAAAACAATTAAAACTAGCAGTGAGTCCACTAGACAGGTGCTCAGAAGATACTATTCTGTTCTTTTAATTTTGTTCCAAAGTTACATTATATTCTAGATAGCACTTGTCATTTTCAACCTAACACACATGAATACAATTTCATAAACAATATTCTCTTATTTTACTACAGAGATGGATTTTGGTGCTGCTTAAACTGGTCTATGTATAAAATTCCTGTGATTGTAGTATATGTGAACAGACAACAGCTGTCCCAAATACCATTCACAAACTCTTATGTAATTGTTTTATTTTGTGGGGGCACATAGACTGTGATTTGAGAGATGGTACTTTTGAACATCTCTGACAAGCCCTACTTATAGAATCAATCACCTCTGCTTCCCTTCCAGTATTTATGCTTAGAAGAAGATAAAACACACATGTGTGTGATCAATGATAACTTTGGGACATATTGTATAATGGAGAAGGAGTATTTCTATTTTTTAAGACAAAAAAATACCATGAAACTTTTATAAAAGCTATTAAAATTAGTAATGTTACTGAGGCCCCCACTTAATAGCTCATCAGAGTTAGAGCATAGTGCTCTGCTATGGGTTGAATTATGTCCCCTCTCCCAAAATCCGTTGAGGTCCTAACACCTGTTACCTGTGAATGTGACCTTATTTGGAAGCAGTGTACTTTCCAAGGTAATCAAGTTAAAATGAGGTCCTTAGGGCGGGCCCTAATCCAATATGACTGGTGTCCTTATAAGAGCACAATGATACATGAAAGTGACAGACACACAGGGAGAACACCATGTGATGACAGAGTCATAGACTGGAGTAATGCAGCTGCAAACTAAGAATGCCAAGGGTTGATGGCCGCCACCAGATGCTAGGAAGAGATAAGGAAGCATTCTACATAGAGTCCCAGAGGGAACATGGTCTTGCTAACGTTATGATTTCAGACTCATGTGGAAGCATGAATTCTTCTTGTTCTAAGCCCCCCCAGTGTATTGTACTTTATATACTAATACCTGCTCCTGCTGATGGTCAGACAAAACAGAAGGCACTGATGGTCCTGAGGATGCTAATGAATAAAGATGGTGGTTGTTTTATTAAAAATATGTCCTTGTAGCAATGCCAAGGGTAAGCACCAATACAAACTGTGATTGTAATAACAACATATTCCACTTCCCATGTATACAACTTTGCTCAAGAATACCTAACAGTGTTTATTCTTGTATTATTAATTATTGTATTATTTTCCATACAAACAACTGTAAACTTACTTTTGCCCCACCCTGTATACAGCAAACCTTGGAACCTCATTTCTCCACCAATGACATGTAGCAATTTTTCAAAGAAGGATTAGAGCTACATTACACATAAATATAAACAAAAATATGTATATATAGACAGCATGTGAACAAGAGAAAGAATATGAGAATGCTAAGCTCTAAGAGGGCCTAGATGTTTGTTTTATTCATTGTTGTATTTTTATGTCAAGTGCAGGGCCTGAAGATAATAGAGGCTCAATAAATAGTTCTTCAGTGACTAAAGGAATAAATACTTAGGGCTTAAAAGAGAAAAAGTAGTAAATTTGTATAGGTACCTATAACAAGGGAAGATATTGAATTACTAATTTAAAAAATTCCCCAAAAGAAAAGTCCAGGCCATATGGCTTCGCTGAAGAATTCTACCAAACTTTAAAAGTATTAAAACCAATCCTTCACAAACTCTTCCAAAAAATAGAAGGGGAGGGAACATTTCCTAACTTGAAATCTATGCAGTCAATATCACTTACATACAAAAAACCAGACACCATTACAAGGAAACTAGAGACTAATATCCCTTACAAATACAGACACAAAAATCCTCATGAAATACTAGCAAAATGAATCCAGAAACATATAAAAAGGACTACATACCAGCAATTTTCAACCTTTTTCATTTCATGCCACACATGAACTTATTACTAAAATTCTGTGGCACACCAAAATATATATTTTGCAGATCTGACAAAACAAGGTATAATTCTGATTTTAAAAAATAATAATAGTAATTACCTATGATTTTTGCTCCAAAGTTACTTTTCAAAAGATCAGGTGTCTATATTTGTATTATATAAGGATTTCTGGTACCAAGAATTAACCAATCAGAAGCAACCTTATTATGCAACATGGCCAATAACATGAAACTTTATTATATGACCTATATATTTATGGTTCAAGACAGGGCATTCACACTGACTAGACCCATAATGTTGTGTTGGCTATTGCCATTTTTTTTTTTTTAATTTGACAGTCTAAGAGAAAAAAGTTCAGGGCCCCTGACTAAATAGTCAGTAATGTAGGTTTCAAAAATTATTGTGGCATACTAGCTGAAAATTGCTGCTATCCACAATGACAAAGTTGTATTTATCCTAGAAATGCAAGGTTGGTTTAACATCTGAAAATCAACATAATATACCATGTAAATGGAATAAAGGGAAAAAAGAATAACCCTCACAGGATCACTTCAATAGATGCAGAAAAAAACATTTGATAAAATCCAACATATTTTCACAATAGAAGATACTGAACAAACTGGGAAAATAAAGGAACACCCTCAATCTGATAAAGGGCACCTAGAAAAAAACCAAGAGCTAGTATCACAATTAATGGTAAAAGCCTGGATGTGTCCCATCTAAAATCAGGAACAAGACAAGGATTTCCATTCTTGTCACTTCTGTTCTACATTATATTAGAAGATCTAGTCAGGGAAATTAGGAAAGAAAAAATGGATAAACAGTGGAAAAAAGGAAAAACGATCTCTATTCACAGGTGACATAATCTTATATATATGAAAACTAAGAAATCCACAAAAAACTATCAGGATTAATATACCAGTTTAGCAAGGTTACAGGATACAGAATCAATATAAAAGTCAAGTGTATTTCTAAACACTAGCAAGGAGCAATATAATAATTAAATTAAGAAAACAATTCCATTTACAACATCATCAGAAAGAATAAAGTATTTAGAAATAAATTTAACAAAAAAAGTGTATAACTTTTATACCAAAAACTATCAAATGCTGCAAAAGAAAATTAAAGATCTAAAAAAACAGAAAGACATTTTAATGTTACAGATCAGAAACTTAATATGTTAAGATGATGAAAATACTAAGAAATTGACCTAAAAATTTATTGTAATCCCTATTAAAATCTCAGCTGGCTTTCTTGCAGAAATTGTCAGGATGATCCTAAAATTCACATGGAAATGCAAGAGCTCTAGAGTCACCCCTCCCTCCCCCCAAATCTTGAAATAAAGAACAAAGTTGAAGAACTCACATTTCCTGATTTCAAAACTTACCTCAAAACTAGAGTAATTAAGATTGAGAAGTGCTGGCATAAAAATAGAAACACGGTTGGATGAAACAAAATTCAGAGTCCAGAAATAAACCATTATGTTTATGGTCAGTCAATTTAGACCAGGACACCAAGACAATTTAGTAGGGAATAGTCTTTTCACCAAATTGTGCTGGGACAACTGGATATCTACATGCAAAAGAATAAAGCTAACCCTTATGACATGCTATACATAAAAATTAACTCAAAATGTATCAAAGATCTAAATATAAAGAACAAAAATTATAAAACTCTTAGAAGAAACAAATCTTTTTGACATTTAGGCAATTTTTTAGATAGGAACCTAAAAAGCACAAGCAAAAAAAAAAAAAAATTTAAACCAGAATTCATAAAATTAAAAACTTTTGTGCTTCAAAGGACAAGTTCAAGAAAGTCAAAAGACAACCCATACAATGGGAGAAAATATGTGTAAATTATATATCTGAAAAGACTTGTGTTCACAATTTATAAATAACTCTTACAATAAAAAAAAAAGAAACCCATTAAAAGTGGATAAAAGATTTGCATAAACATTTCTCCAAAGAAGACATACAAATGGCCAATAAACACACAGAAAAGATACTCGTCATTTCTCATTAGCATAAATGCAAACCAAAGCCATAAGACTCTGTTTCATATCTGCTAAACT